CCCCCCATTTCCGGCTCCTCCCCGAGTTTTGGGACACCCTGTATAGTAGCGCCGTTCGTACTTACCTTCGATCTAAATTCTGTACATGACATATATTTAGAAGAAAACTATAGTTTTCATCAGTAAACATATATGTTTAATTTTAATAAACATTCAACAAAATGAAATGTTTGATATCCTACCAGTGGCAGCAGCAGCTTCGCTACCTTCTTCGTTCACTTCCATAGATGCTTTGTGTAAAACTTTGTCAACATACAGCTTCTCGTCAGAAATGCCAGAAAAGTTAGCGTGTTTGGTGAACATGTCAGTCAAACCCATCTAAATAGGATATTTAAAATTACGAATATGAAAAAAAGAAAACAGCTATTCTTCAGTAATATAGCATACGTTTTTTAGCACATTGTTGAGCTTTATGCTGCTTTCGATCTTGAATTTTGGCAAATAAAGTTGCACTTTCTGTTTTGATCCCTGATTCAGGATACTGATAACACTTGTATTTTGCAATTCCTTCTCAACCTCGGCTAGACCACTGATTTCATTCGGAAGAATGATGACCATGCTAAAGTTATCTTCCTATAAAATGGTTTGTTTATGTTTATAACTTGGAAATTCTTCCTTCTCCATCATACTTGCAAAAAGGAAACTTATTTTTAAGCGTTATCGATTTGTTTAAAAAATTACCTTGTATGGTAATTCGATAAATTTTGCGTTCAAATGCGGAGTACTGCCATAATTGAAAGTGCCCTTCATATGCATGGTAGGAACATCTTTTTCTGCAGTCTCGTTAACGTGGAATGTTAATCCCTCGGTCATCCAAGAATTGAATTTCTGTTTCCACTGACCTTTAAAGTATGCTGCGTTAACAAGTACTAATGGCGTTTCGCCATCAAAATCACCTGTTCAAGAAGACGTAACAATGAAGCAGAAATTCATTCATTGATCGCATATTAGATTACATTATTCATCATTAGTTTCGATGTTCCGACATATAACAATGTACAGAAAATATAATTTTTTAAATTATTGTATAGATTTACTAACTAGGGCCAACAACGTTCTTAATGCGATCTTTTGTGTTTTCCTGAATCCACGTGTTAATGGCGTTTGCAGCCTCGTTAGGATCGTTGAAGTTTACCGATTGCGCGGTAGAACGGAAGTAGTTTGTCATCAATTCTTGATAACTTGGTTTTATAGAAAACTTTTCATTTATGAAGACTTTATTTGGAAAATCAAGTTCATTTTTCATAGTACCCTATAATAGAACATGTATATCCAATGTCACGCAATATATAAATTGAATTTGAATTTGAATAGAAAAATGAACTGAAACAAAAGTTTCAAGTAAAGAATTGATACTTGCATTGAGAGTATCAATAAGTGCTTGGTAACCAGATAGACCAACACTATCAGTTGGTATATGAAGGGCTTCTTTTAGTTGCCTTTCTGTTTCTCCGCGAGCACCATATGTAGCCATAGCAAGAACTATGGCTATACTAACAGGAGACACTACAAGATTGTCTGAATTCTCTTTTACAGCAGCCTGAGAAAGATATTTATCGCGTTACTAACAATTTTGAGCAATTCTCAATAATAACTATTTTTTTAAATATATTTTGTGGGGCAATTTGATTCTTTCACCTGAAATAGCGACGATGAAAATTGACTTGTCCCTTGTGAAACGGCATAGAGTGCTTGATCGGTATCTGCATTTGCTGCCATTGCTATCGAAATAAGGCACGCTACCAGTAGGTTCCCTTTAGCTGAGCAAATTTATTTTTAACAAAATAAAGATAAAAACATTTTCTTTTAGACCAGCTGTGTTTATAAAACTTAAGGTGTATCAATTAATTACAACATGTATCACAAATAATTGAAAGTACGCAAGTAAGTGTTGTCGATACGATCAATTTTGCTAATAAATATTAACGGTCACAATTTCTTATGTATGTGCATTATTCTTATTCTAATCGAAATATTTCACTACATTTGGTATAATTCGATGAACGAATACTGCGAACGTTGCACGAAATTATCAATACAATTACCTCGTTGACTATTATTACAGCCTCGTTGACTATTATTATAGCCTCGTTGACTATTATTACTCATAATATTGCGCAATCGTCTCTTTGTCTCTCGACAAAGTGTATGAAGCACAATGAGTCCTCGAATTATACGAATTCGCAAAAACATCACCATGCCTCTACTTTTATACTTATACATATTTTTATTTTACGTATTTACACGAATGTTAAATAAAATTTCTGTTCTAAAGTTTCTTTTTTTCATGGCGAAGGTATACTTAAAGATTTGTTTAACATTGATTGATTTTTGAAGTGAGAGATTGTGTATCAAAGGTATTGTAGGAAACAAGATGAAACGATTTTAGAAGGAAGTGGGGATCGTAATAGGTCTGATGTGTTAAACAGCCTTCAGAAGATCTACGAGTAGATAAAGATTAAATCACTCGCCGATCACGTTTTACTTACTCGTTCTTCTTAACTGAAAACAAATCTATCTCTCCACTATTTAAATAAAATAGAAGAGGACAAAATTTCTGCGAAGATCAATAAGAATGTTTTCCTGTTGAATTCAATAATGCTTTGCCGATTAATAATTGAAACATTTTATTGCATTGTTGAAATATTAATATTTAAATGTTTCAACTATGTTAATATGCTCTTCCTTCTCTAATAATATATACGTGATCCGAAGTTAAATACTACAATTATGATTTTATTGGAATCTTTAATAACTATTAGTTGTGATATGTTATCACCTGTTAAGATAAAGAAAAATGATAAGTTCGAAATGGGAATGTACCATTACAATAATCTATTTGCTTCTCGTTGGTGAGTAATGTAGTATATCTAATCAGAAATATTTAGCAAATAAACTGTCTCATTCTTACCAAGATGTAGAAATATAATTAGGATATTTAATATATACAGGGTGTTTCAGCCGATTTTAGCATCTTGATAACTTCAGTATTGTGGTATCTAGCGAAAAATGTTGCATAGGAAACTTAAATGGTATCGAGTGGGGCATATTCTGGTGATATTAGTTTTTCCGTAGGTGGACGCGTCAATGATATATGAAGGTCAACTTTATTTTTTTAAATAGAATGAAGTACTTTTTTATGCATCAAACGATGCAGCTAGACATTCTTTATAACAAAAAGTACTGACCTACGTGTTATAATGCATACAAAAGTACCTCATTCGATTTAAAAACGCAAAGTTGACCTTTATATATCCTTGACGCGTCCACCTACGGAAAAACTAATATCACCAGAATATGCCCCACTCGATACCATTCAAGTTTCCTATGAAACATTTATCGCTAGATCCCACAATACCGAAGTTATCAAGATGTCAAAATCAGCTGTAACATCCTGTATACATACCAGTGACGAAACACTTGAAATCTAAATGTAAATTAACGATTATTGCAGAGAATCTTCGACAATTATAAAAATTAAATCGAGCAAACTTTAATTCAGTTTTACTCACGTAAATGCATGTCGTATCCTTCTTTCTGTCGGTTAATCCCCATCGAAAGTTAAGCGTAGACTGTAAGAAGAAGCTACGGAACCGGCACCAAACAGTGACAAACGTCACGAATGAAATGGTGGAAAGAATAGTCCTATCCAAGGATTAATGATGGGTGAATAACCAATTGCAAAGCGTGGATTTTAATTACCGTTTGGTCACACAAGGTTAAGCAACAGGACATTCAATTTTGTTTTATACTCGATACTCTTCCTGGAGCTTTGTGCTTTTATCATGTAAAATCAAAGAATTTCAAGTTACGCTTTCTAAGAGTCGATCACGATCAAAAGCACTCCCTAGGTTATGGGTCATTTCACGCGAATTCGCATATTTTTCGAAGTAACATGTTGGATTTTTATGAAATTATAATAGGTTGTAGTCTTTAGTGGTATTTGAACGTATCTCGAAGAATTTTTAAAAATTGTAAAGATCGTAGGTTTTACAACCGTTCGAAATTTTGTATTATTTATTTAAAATTATAACTATTGAACAGGTGATTTTAAAAATTTGAAAAAAAAAATGAGAATATGACTCGTTTCATTTCATTTTTATTAAGAAAACTTCACCAAACTATGGATGATATTTTCACGAAGATGAGAATGAGTTACTTCAAAATTATTATGAAATAATCATGTATAACTCCATTTTTACTATAAGAATTTTATCGAATTGATTAGAGTAGTTTTATAAAAATAATGGAAGAAGTATGAACATTTGTTTGGTGACCTTGGAACTTATTATCAGTCTGTGATGCCATCGATCGTGTCGGATCGCGTGTCGGAGATAATGGCGATGTCAGCGTTGAATTCCAGGAAGCGGAAGAAACATCTTTTATCAGTCTTCGCAAACTGTACAATTTTCATTTGAAATATTTTTTCCAATATCTTCTGTACTATAAGAATTATACAGGCACGAACAAAGTGGATAGCTCTGATATAAATGGTGGTTTCTCCCTTGAGGTCGAAAAGTAGCGATATGGAATTTGGGATCGTTATTCTGCACTAATACTGCATTATTATTGCATTAATATTTTCACATTCTTTCATAAAGAATCAACGCCTGACAAATCGCTATGTTCACTTGTTAGTCGAGGTAAATGTGCTTCTTTTATTAATTTCAAACATATTGTTTCCTTAAAGTCACACGAATGTTGACATAATTTTATTTCCAGGATGCATGATCATCAACATGGCGTTCATAGTAACGTCATGGTAGTACATATATATGTACTTTGTATAAAAAGTGGGAGAAAATTAATTTCACGCGATGTAAAAAATGGCCTCTAATCTTTAACGGATAAGCCATTTTCCTGGTCGTTCTGTGCTGCGACTGTGCATGTTTCCAACAATATTTTGCAAAGTGCGCGTTACACTCCACTGTAAATACGACCACTCGGTAATATTTCTCCGATTCGAAGAATAAACATGATACCAAGAAAATGACACTAACAACTAACATTACAATCACAGTTGCGCGTAAGTCCTAAATTATTACATCTTCGTCAATTTTTTTACAAGCCTTTATATTTAGATGCAATTGGTAATCAGTTTCTTCCCCGATTATTTCTCAGAGTTGAATATAATCACTTAAATTAATCGCAATTACAGCGTGCTTTTAGATTGTAGTTACTATTGTATAATTGTCAAATACAATTGTTACCTACGTGTGAATTAATTGTGACATAAAATCAAACGATAATTATAATTACTACAAAATTAAAGTTGCAATTATCACTGACCCTAAGAGATTACAATTAATCAATTACACGAGTTTACAACTTTTGATTCAAGTATGCCGCAAATGTGGAAAGTCAGTTGGTATGATTGGTCATCATTACCAATATGATATTGATTATGGATATGATATGGATTGATATGGATCAGTATCAATTTGACATTTGACAAGTGGACGTGTAGTGACGTGTACTTTAATGTTTTAATTTTTCATTCTTTGAATTGCGTATTTCAATGATTTCAGTTCATATTTTTTAGCAAAAATTGTTAATTGTGAACATTTATTCGCGTATATACTGAAATTTCTAGTATTCTGGATATAATTTCAATAGCGCATGTCATTACAATAGTTAACCTCTACGGGCATTGTTTATTCTGGATTGGATAAACTATAAATTAATTATTACTATTTATTATTAATTAAGATAAATATATCTTGTAAACTAATCGTAGGGTGTTTCTAAACTCGAAACTGAAACTTACTACAAAAAAGAAAACGTATAATTTGACGGTTTTCAAAACGAAGTAAGTATAACAAATTTCGCAGACACAAGATAGTAAACAAACATTTAAAAGTGTATAAAACATCACTAACCGTGAACTCTGATATGCAATCACTGAAACATTAACATTTCCTGTAACATACGTAATTATAAAATTTATTAATTTACATATTTTTATACATATATACGTTGTTAGTATTTCTATCAACTTCTCATCTATTATTATTCTATACTTTACTTATTTAGTTTTTACTTTTACAATAGTATCCGAATGGCAACCGAAATTGCAGTGAAAGCCCTTGATCCTCTGAAATATCTGAATGCGCTATCAAAGGCAGAAAGACTGGACCCATACAAGTTCTACAACAACAAGGACATTTCTTTTCAATGCTTTCGATGCTTATTGACAGGAGAAAACGCCAATTCCTCCCGGGATATGTTCCAAAGTGCAGCAACAACTATTAGCATTGTCATATCATACTACCACCAATTGAAGATGGACTAAAGAACATTTATCATGGACTAAATGCTGATAAACGTATCGAAGCTCAGTGCTGTCTATCTGGACTGGAATTTATCATGAGTGATCTTGCAAATGATATAGGAGATAAGAAACAGCAGTTACTCGATTTAATGCATTCTGATACAGTGGAAGATATAAAGGAGTTTATTGAAAACACTGCTGATTCGTCTACCTATGGAAATGTAGAAGTACCAGATCTTGCAAATGTTCCAAAAACTCATACTTGGTGGAAAGATGAATTTCAATCTTAATAATTGTACATGGTCAGCTGCTGTTTAAGTGATATAAGTGTTATATATGCCAAATGTATATAAACTTATGCATGTAACAAATGTATATATCTTATGCATTTATGACATGTGGTAATATGGAAAACATATACAAATCTGTATGGAATATACTTCATAAACTAATATAATACTGTTAATATCTCACTTTCTACATACAAGGTGGATACATTTAGCATATATTTTTCATATGCCCTAAATGCATAAAATCCACAGTTCAGCTATAAGAGAGAGAAAGAATCATTGGTGATCTGGATACATGGATCATATCATTCCAATTCTCATTGAATCTAAATGGCTAAATACAACACAAAAGTGGTTTTAACATTTATATTGTCTCATGCATTAAATCCTCTACTTCAACATCCCATTCCCATAGAGATCAGGGGATCAATTCTGTAACTTTTCTCGTGGTGAACATACGAGCAAACTCACAACTCTTGATTCTGTAACTTTCATCGTAGTGAAAATTTGAGCCATCTCACGGGTTTGATCGACAAGAAATTTCTTGTCGAATGGTGAAATAAGAGAGAAAGACATTAAGAAATAGAGCGAGAGCAATATGTCGCGGGAATACCTAATTCCATGGATCAAACCGAGGAAGCTGGAGTGGGAACAGAGAGCACGCCAATTCCAAAGTTATATGTTCTTTCTATTTGGAGGTATACAATACCAGTCATACAAGAAAAATGAATATCATGTATTAGACACGGACATTTATTTCGCTTTATATGTACTCCCAAACAACATAAGTACATGGGGAAGCAATGGTAACAAAGCAGATAATGTCGCCAATAAGATCGGAAAGACGATAGTACACGTTTATAAAAGATACTCGCGTGCTTCGACGCTACGGATCGGTTTTATTTTTCTTTATTGCAAGGGTACTTATAAAGAATTTCATCTAACAATATTTCGTGTATATACAAGCGATAAGGACGACGAGTGTTTCTACGTTGATACGCATTGCCGTATATACGATTCGTGGCTTAGTTGGAAGAATGACAACAAACTTCCAATGTTGAAATATTGTTACCCGTTGAATGGCTTTTACACTTGTTCCAACGATCATGAAGACATATCCGACAGAAAACGCGAACCAATCTTGGAGTTCGGTTCATCGCCAGCGTGTAAATTGGTCGCGCGTTTAGGAAGGATGTTAGATGTTGGTAGCGAAATTGCTAGATATAATAATATGTTTTTTGGGTTGACATCTTTGTTTATTTTCCTCGATTCTATCAAAACCATGTTCGCCGGAGTAGTTGGCGTTGCGGGTGCAGTATATGGAGCAGCGAGGAGCGTTCAATGTTTGGTAGACAAAAAGAGACACGAAACGAGTCTGCTTGACGCGGAATCCCTGATGCACGGATTAAACATTCTAATGATACTTCCTCACGTGATAATGGCCGTAGTAAATACCCCTTTATCCCTTCGATACCTGAGCCAGGCCATTTCTCCGCGGGATATTTTAACAACTGGCGCACAAAAAATACTATCTCTTACGTTCACTCAACGACTTGGTTTAATTGTTTTAACTCTCGTTTTGCACCAACAAATATCAGAATATTTAAACACGACACATTCAAATGCAAACAAACACATTGATAAAATAAAAACATTCAATTTGAGAGCCTTATAAACTTTGAAAGGCAATCTATGCCTAATACGATCGTTGCGAAAACTTGTAAAAACAAAGAAAAGGGTTTGAAGAAATTTGAAAAAAAGTGCAAAAATGTGTTCGCAAGATTGAATATTACCGATAAGAATCTAATACAAGCGACGACGGTCGTAATTTCAAAATTAAATTGTAATCATGTTGCTGCTGTAATTAACTTAATTGAACTAGAATGTGCAGGTACGTTCGAAAAGCGTTAGGTACGATCCTCAAACCGTCAAGGGTCCCAAATCTTATCGCTTCATTTTTTTCCAGGTAAATCGAAATCGCGATATCACACATTTCTGTCGGAGTTGCAAACGGAATCCGATATTACGGAACAATTCGTCGCTAATATTAAAAAAGACTGTAAAGAGGCCGAGAGTATCACAAAAAAGAACCTTTTAAAGTTCTGTAACAATTATACGGCTGTTTACCACTACAGGAAACACAAAGCTGAATTCGGAAGTGACACTTCGATGAAGGTGTACCTCTGTGATATACCAAACGAGCTATTCCAGAATAAGTATCTTTACAGTTACGATTACGATCAAAGTAAAGAGTTAAAGGTTATAACTTATACGAATATAAACGGTTTTCAATATGGAGTATTGAAACAAGAAAGGAAACAAGTGCTACGTATCGCGACGATATATAAGAATGAAAAATTTTTCCAGAACTGGGAAATTAAATGGCCAGAGGCTCGAGGGAAATTACAATTTCCTATCGAATAACCAAACGACAACTTCGACGATTTCATTTTCTGGTATGCTCAAGCGAATCGTGTTAGAGGCAAGATTTGTATATCGAAAATTTGGGGGATTTAGTCAATATATCTGTAATGTTAACCCAACGAAAAAGACCGCTTAATTCTAGAATGACCGGTAATGACAAGGAATTGCGGCGAATGACTTGATTCCGATTTGGAAGAAATCGTAGATAAATATTTTTTTAGCTATGTTAATTCAAGTTTAAGCAACAAAACAATCCTCCAATTGTATTAACTGTAATATATAAAAAAGTATTTTATTTTTGTTACATTTTCTGATGGTATGAAAATATAGCGACGAGATAAAGTTTGTTTTATCGTCATTGAAAATTTTTAAAATAGGATGGCACGCTTAAAAAGATGCCGATTATTTAAAATATTGTCTAACGAGCCTAAAAAATTACCATGTTTCGGCAACTGTGTTATATCTTGTAAAATAATAATAAAAATGTTAATACTTCCTAAACAATTGTTTGTTTTTAATTGAAAAAAGATACCAGTGAATTATTTTACAATTCTTTATGTGTTATATTTATCGACAAAAGATGTGACTGCCCCTGAATAAGTGGGACCCGTCATACTTTAAAGAAAATCTCTTTGGCTATGGATTATACGTACATTCCTGGTTGAAATGACGTGCGACAAGATAACATACCAATGGAATTTCGATCACGCGATCATTACATTGTTTTTATCTTCTCATTAAACGGATAATAAATGCGTCGTAATGTGAAATAGGTTGGGAATTTTTACAGATAGAATCACTGAGGTCTATAATTTGTCAATAACCAAACTGAAAATCGCCACAGTTGGATCCTCCACCTGGAAAAGAACAGCATAGTCATCTCGTGGCGCATTCCCGAAACTGGCCACCAAATTGAATACGTGTTCACTGCTGTTTTGTCGTCTGTTTCGTGCAGAGAATCGTGTCGTGTCAGTGTCCATTGGACGTGTTCGGAAGTTCTTTGGACATTGTACGATGCCAAATAAAAACAGACTTTTCATTACGTGATGGGGATACTCGACGGGTGCCTGGTTATTTAGCTAGTCACGGTCCTTGGCTATCAATAGACAACTGTCTAGACGACAACGACGAAACCGGGAACGTTCACGTTGGAACAGAAATTGTTCTGTCAGCATGCCATCCAGAAGAAACAACTGTGGCCTTCTGGCCAGGGTGAATTTTCCCCTGTACACATTACAAATGCTGACGAGCAGGCACATTCTCGTTGGCGGCGGTGGAGGTTCATCGAAAACAGGGGTAGCCAATGGGTTTGTGAGTATTTATAAACCTTATTAAAAGCTTGTTAACTTAGTCTGTATCAGTATACTTTCACTATCCTATCTGTAAAAATATAGAATGCTCGTATAGACGAGACTACTAATGTCCTTATTTGTTTATGAATTTTTACATGAATCTTTCTGGATTTGCAGGAAATATTTGAGTTGTCTCACAATGGATCACAGTTTGTCGCAGAAGAAGTAACCAGACACGAAACAGGTCCCAGTGTTGTCATGAATTGCACAGCTTACACAGATGGAAAGAGAACATGGATCGCGGCTGGCCAGGAGAGCCACTGTCAGCTGTACAACGTAAATACTAAAGTAGTGACCGTAGAGAATGGGAAAGTTATTAAAGGATCTAATGACAGCACCAAGGATGGAGTTAGGCACAGAAAAGGTTCTGAGAAGACAGAGGAAACCTTAAGGGAAAAGATAGAAGAAATTAAGGATGACAATTCTAATATTAAAAGCAAAAAGTTACAGTTAAAAGTGAAGCCAGCTGACAGTGTACAGACAGATTTTAGGTAACTATATGCTGAATTTATGTTAGCAATTTAATATTTGCACTGTTTTTTGTTATTTGTTTGATGTATTCAGTCTTCAATGAAAACTTTTGTTAATAGCGAAGACGAACCCCTCCAGAGGATCGTTAGAATAAGTTTGAATGGAAAATTCATGGCTACTGGTGGAACAGACTGTCACGTTAGATTGTGGAAATTTCCGCAATTACATAAAATTCACAATCTTGAAGCACATACAAAAGAAATCGACGATATAGATTTTAGTCCAGACAGTACACTGGTTGCAAGTATTGCAAAAGATGGTAAAGCTTTTCTGTGGAATGTAAGTAGCGGAGCCAAGGACAAGGAATTAACCTGGTCGCCTCCAGATGGTTTGAAGTACATGTACAAAAGATGTCGATTTCGAAAATTAGAAGAGGCGAAATCGAAAACACAATTGTTCATGCTCTCCAATGCAGTTGTTGGAAAGAATCCTAGTTTTCTACAAATGTGGGACATCGATTCTGGAAGTATAGTAAAAACAGTTCCTTATAAAGAAACTCTGTCTGCTCTGGCAGTGTCGGACGATGGAAAATTCGTGGCTGTTGGAACCATGTTCTCCGGTAGTGTCGACATATACGTTGCATTCAGTTTAAGGAGAGCTTTGCATGTACCGGGTGCACACAGCATGTTCGTGACTGGCCTAGAATTCTTACCAACCAAATTGGACGGCCCTGCGATTACAAGCAACACGGAAACTGCTGTTGTCAGCATTTCTGTGGACAACAAAATCTGCATACACAGTATACCATTTAGACGTAAGTACACTTTATATAATTAATATCTTCATGAAAGGGAGCCGAAATGTTACTCTATATTTATCTAAGAGAAATTCATTGATATTAATCGCAATTGATTTATATTATTATTGTTCGTTGCAGATACACTGCCATTCTGGTTCGTTATCGTTCTGATCATTTTGAGTGTCTGTGGTGCATTCATTTTTTGTAGCTACCTCGGGATATGACCCGAGAAATATATTTTTAAGACTATCGACAGAAGCAGTGCTTTTTCTAGAATTCTGTAAGATTAGGTCGGACATCGAAGTTTCTCACATGCCTTTTCTAAATCACAAAAATAATTTATAGCAACGAAGGGAAAGGCATTGTTTGTCAAATTTTTCGTCGTGTTTGGTCACAAACATATGCGCACGGTTTCAGTAACAGTACGCACGATTATCTGTTCTATTTCCTTGCCAGGAAACGGTCAACTGTCTCGTAGACGAATTGATCTTTTGGGCTCTCGTTTATTTAAGCACTATTGATTCAAACGAGATGTTGCTGTGATAAACAATCGTACTGCACTGAATATACTATTCGTCGGACATTACTGTAAATAGATATTTTCAATTAATTTTCTTTTCTCCAATAGACTGTCGATAGCTCAATGCTATTCTTCGGTCAGAAAATATTTTTCCCACTCTGACCAATTTACACTGTTTCTTCTTGTAAAGGAAATTCGTTAGAATCTTCTGACTATTGCATTTATTTAATTTACCGTCTATGTATCATATTTCCATGTACAGCGAAACGTAGACAACAAAGCATAACACTTTATGTACATTCTTTAGTGTTAAATATGTTTACATACATTTTTATTCTATTAACCTTGTTTTTTTTTTTTTTTTTTTTATTAATATATATTATACAGGATAACTTGGAATTCATGGTCATTTCATTTTTCTTTTAAAAAGACAAATTAAGGTGAACTCGCGTACAAATAGCAAACACACACGTTCCGTAGAATCTTATTTTCTTATTTTCCTTCGCGCGTTATAATTTTCCGTAGGAAAAGAGATTGCCATAAAAGAAGAATCCGTCTTCAGAAGTGCTTCACCGTGACACAAATCAAAGTTGTACAATCGAGTTGTGTGTAGGGGCATGAATATGTACATTTGTTAATGCAATAAAAGATACATGGTAAAATTTGAAAATTGTATTCGTTTCGTTGATATTTAATTTCATAAATTTTGTGCGTAAGAAAAATTCGAAACTCCGCCTTTGGTATTGAAATCGGCGAATGATGTTTTCAATGACTACGCCAATGGCTGGCATACTTGAAGATGATGCTTCTCAAATGATAATTATTTAGGAATGAAGTAGGTCGCGCTAATTCACCGATTTCTGATAATAATTTTAATTATTATTTCTAATTTCCATTTTGAAATGAATATCACTCCAGAATTTTATAGATGCAAAATGAGAATTTGATTGAATTACCAAGCCATCTATACACCATTAATCCCTCTTTACTAAAGAACATTTTATGTAAAAATAAATACGTACGTAAAAGGATCAAAACAGTTTTAAGAATAACCCGAAGAAAATTGTGGAGTGTTCTTGATTATTTACATTTCGTAGTAAAGACAGAGAAAAATGTTTCCTAGGTATAAAATATGTAGAAAGCATTCCATGAAAATTCATGTAGAAATGAATGATATTAAACGGATAACATTGCGAAATTCCGTTCAGGATTAAAGGCGTCGCGACGATGCGTCCCTGTTGGCGGTCGACTCGAAGAAAGTGCAAGGTATGTTCTTCGTTTTTTTTTTTTTTTTTTAATTTTCAACCAATGAATCGGGACTCGCGTTCGAAAAGGAATGCCGTCCGAAATCGAAAGGTGCCTCCAGGCTGAAAGGGCGAGGCGAGGGTGGAGGGACGAGTCGCAAATGACATTTTACGACTTTAACGCTGGCGCCTGTCGATGACTCTCAAGGCTGCGGAGAACGTATCATCGTTTCGGAATAACAAACTCGCGGCCAATGGAAAGTTATCGAGACTCGGGGATCTTGTTAACCGAAAGGAAGAGTTAACTCGTAATTCGTGTCAAGTTGATGAAAGAAACGTGGGGCGGTTGTTGTACAAGCGAGAAGTAGGCGATTCTTCGTGAATAAGTAGGTCGAGAATTGGCTTTCACGTCTATAGGATGTTTCACGAAAACCAGATTACTTGATGTCTTCATAATTAGTTTTTTTTTTTTATCCCTCAGGGGCTGCAGCTATGTTTGATCGTAGCTCCAGTACGGGTATAGCAATCCCGCGGTACCCGAGCTATAGGGGGGGGAGGGGGGGCAGTGGTCCCCACCAGACTATTCGTATTCCTAACGAGAGAATTACAAAAAGAGGTATTTACGTAAATCCGAATGCAAGGCAATATGAAGCACGCAGCTCACTCGCTTACACGCAATTTGTTTTCAATAATACGAAGAAGCGGTACTTACAAAAACTGCGTGGTTTCGAGGATGACATAAAACTGCGAATATGGTATTTGTGTGAATGAAAGCGTAACGGAGATTTGAGAAGGTTAACATTTCTTTGTAATTAAATATTGAATTTCTAATGGGAGAATTCGAAATAAAACTTTGAGAATAAAAGTATCAAGATGTATCTATTTTAAAAGTAGTAATTCATGAAGTATTCGGTAATTGAAGGATTGAAATAAGAGGATCAGTGTTATGCATATTTAAGAGGCTGATTACACACGTAAAAGGAGAAATGATAAAGAATCATATAGAAAGTTACGTTATGTCTATGCGAATGACGTCTGAATTTTAATGTTTGCAAATTTCTAGTCCTTGACCAAATTAATTTCTCATACTAATTAGCAATTATTAATTATCAGTTACTAACGGGGAACGTAAATTCTTCGTTTATTATTCACAGAGAGTATTCAATCTCCGTTCCTTTTCATAATTTACTATTTTCGCGTATTTAAATCTCTTCAATACACGCTAAATAAACTTTTTTAATATAATTCATAGATGAGCTTGTACTTACGTATACAAATTTAAAGGATGATAATTTACCAGTCCCGAATATGCTATTAGTTATTTTACGTTTCGAATTATTTGAAGTAAATTATAGAAAACCTAGGTTGAAGTATTTCGATAAAAGTCTGATACTGACTATATTTTCAAAGGTATGGAGGTAGAGAAAGATCTTTCAACGTCAGGTAGCGATTTTTTGTTTCGTAAAATTTTTTATTCAGAAATATTTTACGTTTTCTAGAAATTACTTTAAACTCTCTCGCGCGCCTCTTAACCGCTAAAACGTTCAACCAAGGGTAATCCCGGCGCCACGGAACCCTTACAAGCGTTCTCAGACGACGTTTCCACGAAACGATCGATCCTTCGCCAGGATATGTGCGCCGAAAAAAAAAAAATAATAGAATATAAGGACTAAGGGATCTGGGGAGGGGGGGGGGAGGAGGATACGGTGGTTATGTACAAAGTTGAGTGTCCTCTTAAAAGGATTCACTCCGTTCCCTCGAGGAGAGAATCCCTTTCATACGCAATCGACGACAGAAACGTTTCGCGAACATTCGCTGGGAAAATCCTGACTGCAAGACAATTGACTCTTTTCGAAGAATCGTACACGCAACAAAAATAATAATAATTTACTTATCATTCTACGCTCGTCATTCATCCCTCGGGAGATCGCTAATTTCTATATATAATTATAGATTTACGATTTGAAAATTTTTATTTTTTCAACAGAATTCGTCGTCTCCAAATTAATAATATAATAGCTATTAATATTGATACGTTTAAACAGGTTTCCAAATAAATTGCCATTGCTGATGTTCTTATAGCGTCAATATAGTCTAAGCAACAAGTGTGAAAACTGTATATAGCGATTTATTCGCTACGTTATTCCGTTGCGGAATTATTCACACGAACCTTCGTTTGTATTATAATTTCTTTGTGAATGTTTGTCCACTATATTTTTGAATAACTAAGATAAAGGAATATATTAAATAGAGTAAACAACAAATCACTGAATAACTAATAAAATGATACATATAGTTGAATATAGGATTGAATACAATACAAATAGAATCGTACTACATCGATTAATTTTAGTATCAAGCATCAAATTATTTTTGTTTACTAATATATGAGCCGAATTATTTTATTCGATAAAATATTAAATTCTTCTTCTTCGTATTATTTCAATACCATCGACGTCATCAAAACATGTCACGGTCCCATCACTGTTTTCAATCTTCGATTCTCGTAAGGGGATTCTTCGAATTCCGAGTACCAGCGTTGAAATTGCACGTCAGGATTCGACTCGAGCAGTCCTCTGCAAGGGATTTCGCGTTCGCGAGACGTTTGCCGCGCGTTTATCTCCAGGAATGACCGACCACGCCAGAATTGGGCAAAATATTATTCCAAATAACGAGTAAATTCTCGAAAATTTATTCGTGAACAACGAATAAGGATTCAATGAGCAGCGTTATTCGATCCAGATTTGTTCGAATGAGGGTTTATTTTTAATTCGAAAGGCCTCAACGACGAATAAATGCGATGTATAAGTCAACTGTTTCACATCGATTCGCCCTGTTTCTCGTTGATTCGTTCGAATAAGATACTATTCTTTATATCGTTTGAAGCAGAATTTATTCGAAATTTTGTTCGAATAGTACCCAACTCTGGACCTCGGTATCTGCGATCGTCGTGTGTTCCTCGAAGTCACGCGCCTCTCGATCGATCGATATCACGTGTCCGCGATTGCTCATTTTTTATTCGCGGTGAAACCGTCGCCAGTCGGGTCGAGTAGCCACGGATAATAGTTGGGGCACTCCATACAGGTGAACAGACGAAGGGTCTCGCCTGGAAGCTCCCTGGTGGTCAATGGGCACGCGTTAGGTAAAGAACAGTAGGGCTGTCCTTTTTCGTCGCAGGTCTCCTTCCAATCCTGGAAATCACGCAGGGCTGACAGCTCCGTGGGCGTCTGCATCCACTTGATAACCTGCAAATAGAATAGAAATATGACAGACTTTGGTCAGACGAGCATCGGATTTAATTTATCGCAGAATCTCTGTCCGTGAAATTTTTACTCGCGATCTTTAGATCAAATCTTTAAATAATAAATACGAAATGAAGAGCTATTCGCGTGTTATCCGGCAGGTAAAACTTAAAAGTTGAATTATAGAGTGAAATTATATTTTGCGTTGAACGAATAGAAAGTTATTTGAATAATTATCCAGGATATTTTACGAATTGTTTAACACATTCATTTCAACGTTGCAATTAATTACAAAAGTTGTAAGAAACGTTCAACATTAACTTTAGAATTAATTACTTCTTCATTCGGTAAATCGATCATGTAACTAGATTGAATGAAACTTCGATATTCAATGTACTCATTTAACGTTGCATCGTGATAATTTCTTTCGATCGACCCATTTGCTTCAGTTTTTAATGAAGAATACTCTCATAAACACAGCAATTATCGTACAAAATATAACAATATTTGCGATAACTATTCTCGCAAAAGAAGATTTGTGGTTTCCAGTTTCAAAGACTGCGCCCGAGGACCGAATGAAGATATTGTCTGCAGAATAAAACTAAAACAAGTAATTTTCGATGGATTATGAGTCGATCGTGGGAGCTTACGGATACATCGAGACTGTCGGCGACGGAGAGCGGGAAATAGTGTTCGTATCATGCGGCTAGATTGAAAGCGGAAAATAAATCGACGGAAAGCGAAATAAAACCACGAGACGAGGCTTGATGGATCACGAATGAGAAACATCGTGATGCGGCAGGATTGAAAACGAGAGATAAATTGGAATAAGCCGGGGTAGTCGTAATAACAGTTTCTGCAATGAGAAATCTCTCGCTGGCTGCAAACCGTTCCCGTGCGTTTTAACGAAGAAAGTCGTGGGTTGAAAATTGTAACGTTGAAATCGAGTCTGAGATGGAAGAAATTCTCATATAGATAAAAAGATCCACTAACGAGTTAGAGATAAACATCGTACGTTAATACATCGTTCGAAAAATAGAATTTAAATTGTAGAATGAAAATGAAACAGCATGCGAAAATTTATGTACAACGAATAGAAACGAAATATGATAGTTCTCACTTGCAGAATAAATAGAGTAAACATTTATTGATGGAGTAATTACATAATTTTATAAATCAAATGAATAAGCAATGGCTGAACGAATTCGTTTCTCAAATAGGAAACTAAGCAACAACTGGATGATTAATTTTATAATCAGAATAAAGAAAGAATAACTGAATAATTTACTTTATAAATAGAATAAACAAGACACGACTAAGTAGTTTATATTGTAAATTTTATAAACAAGATATAAATAATTGAATAATTCGTATTATAAATGGACTAAACAAGCAACGACCAATTGTTTCATATTATAAATAAAATAAATAAGTAGTGACAAAGAATTCAGTTTACATAACCAAACGAAGAGCAGAATCACTCACCTGGACCATGGTGACGAAGTAGACATCACTCCTGGCAAGCATCTCCTCGATGAACTTGATCAGCTCCTCTCTATACTCCTTCTTGCTCTTCAACCAAGAAGCGTGGAAGTGAAGACCCAACGGGGCCCTGTTGCTGTTGAAGTGCCTGTTGAAGTTGTGCCTGAGCAGCCTGCCGAACTGTTCACCGGACTGTATATTCGAGCAAGAGTCCACCATGTGGCAACCAGGGAGCGATTCGTCGAAAGTCGGGTCGTCTCTTCTGTCCAGCTCGTTCATCACCATCTCCCAGACCGGATGGGACCGTGATGGACAATTGCCACCGTTTCCGTTGCACTTGTGCGGCATCCTGAAGTAGAGGGTGTACGGCCAAATGGGCACACGACCCAGGGACGCGGTGATGGAGGCGTCGTAGACGAAGAACTGATCGGCCATCATCTCGAACTGTTTGTTGCCACCCACACGGAGGTAAGGAGCCCTCATTCCAATGATGGAGCCGTCGGTGATGTTGGCGAATCGCTCGATGATCAGCCTGGCGCCGGCCATCTCGGCCAGCCAGTCGTCGTAGCTACCTTGGGTCCAGTATTGTGGATCGTCTTTGTGGGTCAGAGAGAACACGGAGATCTCGTGACCGCGTCGATGGAGGTCTTGGACCGCCGAGTAGTTGGTGTACTTGTGGGAGACGAAGAAGGTGCCTCTGATCTGGCAGCCGTTGGGATTCTGACGTTGCCCGTTGAAGATATCCTCGTAGAGATCGATGTTGTCGACGTTCACGGCTCCATTGAAGGTGATCGTGATCATCTGGGGCACCTGGGACGGTTCGATGTTGCCAGGGATCCTGGTACCGTCGGCGGAGCAGTAGCAGTCTGGCAAGACGCATTGAGTCGGATCGCAGTCTGGCGCACGATTCGGGTCGGTCTCCACGGCTGGAACAATTATTCGTTTGTTTACAGGTGGGTGAACCTTTTTCGTAAAGGAGGCTAATAATATGTTTAATATTATTAAACATGAATTATTGATCAGACAGGATTATTGATGAAGCATCAGAGAGTTGGACTCGATTATTCATCATTTTTGTGACTAAGGGACTTCAGTAGGTCAAGGTTAAGATTTCGAGCAATTTCAACGGTGATGTTTGGTATTTTATGGGTCAAGGTTGTCGCAACAAAATGGAGAGTGAATTAGTTACTTGATTAGGGTATTGGGTCCTGGTATTCAGAACATGGGTGGTTAATTGAGTTCGTTAGGTTAACGCTCGAATTTAGATTAGATTTCTCTAAGCCTGAAAGCTGTAACTTCAAGATAACTCAGCTACTCGATTCATTTTTTATCCGAACAATACTCTGGAATTCTTGGACTGAATCTTCCATCACGAATGAAATCAGAGGAGTAGGTGATCAGTCATCTCGACAACTCAATCGTTCATCCAACCACCTACTCCTCTTAACTGCACTTCTTCGATTATCGACTACTATAAAATGCAAAACATTAACAGTTACTTTCTTTTTCAATTCATTTGTCCTTCAGGCATGGCTAGTCGCAGACACAACAACTACATACTAGTCCAAGAATTCCAAGTCGTAGGATGCCTGCTAGCCACTGAACCGACGTTTAAAATGCAAATGAGACCGTCGATTAGCTTTCATTGGAACTGTTCGGAAAACGTCGCGAAGGCTCGCGATGTAGCGATGGCGATACTCACTGCATGCATTCTCGTCGGATTCGTCCTTGCAGTCTGGTTTACCGTTGCAGAAGAGCTCCTTGTCGACGCATTCGCCGTTACCGCACGACAGTTTCCCTTCAGGGCAGACCGGTTCGTCGGTCCTCAGGATGGGCAAGACCTTACGTGGCTCTGCAAACGTAATCCTCATTAAGGGGCCGGTTCACGCGACCCAATGCCCTCGATGTGGCAATCGATACTATTCGGGCCCGTTCGACGTTCACCTCAGCACTCGAACTGGGCCCGAATTCTACTTTTACTTCGCCCAATTTTATTTACAGAGATCGATAAACACAGCGGCGCAGGAACCAACTACTCGGACCGATGCTGGCCGAGTCCAGCAACTGGGATGACGAAAATAAATTTAGGACAAAAATTATTCAACTGTAATTCACTGTTTCGTTCACTTCTATATTATGGATTATTTTGATTTGATTCAAGTGCTAATTACATTCTAAAGGATGACTTAATTCAACTTTAACAGGAAGGCCTTCACAAGTAATTGTTATAATTCAGAGTTAAAAGAAAAGGGGATTTTCGTATTAATTATTAGAATTCGTTAAGAAGAGAGAGAGAGAGAGAGAAAGAGAGGGAGAGAGTCGGTAATACAAAAATAATTTGATATAGAGTTCGTTGCATAGATTTATTGCAAAGTACTGTTTGAAAGATTGTAACTTTGACTCCTTTAATTATATCTGATTATTCTGCGTATGGAATTATTATATTCGTATGAATTGTCAATGAAAACTTTAGTTTACCGATACATCACCTGCTTTTCTAAATAAAATTACGTCACAGGAAGTTGAACTCATCCGAATTGCGAGACTCGCCTCGTATAATGATGCATTGATAACCCTTTGTGGTAGACACTCTGTTTCAACGATATCAGTGGCAGCGAATTACAGTAATAATAATTAGAATTATTGCTCGTCGTTCGTATTTATCGAACGTTGCAACGCTCAAAGGGTTAAAGTTGCTACTGTGCTGAATTAATGTCCACCCAATTCCAAAGCTACGGGGTACCTTGCCAAATCAAGTATTAAGTATCAAACTAATTACGTTTTCTAGGGCAAATTGTGTTTTATATTTGTCGCCTGTGTAGTCTAATATGTACACGTACAAACTTTATATACATACACGTGCGAGATGCTAGTTCAACGCTTTCACGAGTGTTGAATTTTCAAATGAATATCCCAATGAAAATTCAAGATTTATATTTACTAAAACTATTACTGGAATTTTATTCAAGACTCTGAAATTTCATACTCAATGGAGCTTATATCTTACTAAGAATTTAATATGCTTTAATTGAAGAGATTTTAATAATAATTAGATATGTATACAGGAAATTGGTTATAATAACCAGAACGTCAACAAAATGTTAAATTTTCCAGTGAAAATTTCGATAAAGGTCGAAAATTCATAGCACACTGCTCATCTAGCGTGCCCTCATTTAAAACTGAAAACCACAAACATAAGCAAGAATCTACAATTAGCGCTGCGTTATCGGCCGCGAAAGCGTGAACGTTTTTGTGGAATTCGGATTTAAATTCTACGTTCCTACGCCACTGTCTCCAAGTCACTTTTATCGTTCGACCAACAGTAATTTCGTTTGTATCTTTCCCCTTCGTTCGAGAACATATCTCCCCGTTTCGCGACAACCTGCGACAGGAAGATGCAAAAAAAAAAAATAAATAAAGACCAACAGGGGCCGAGAGATGCTTTGGAGCTTCTCCGTTATCGTCCACATTCAACTCTCTCTCCTCGGAATCGGTCTTGAACGTTCGGCTGGAAGGGATCGCGGATTCTGCAGCTTGGAAACCTTCAAGATCGTTAACACGCGTTGGAATTTCGAGAGGGGAAACGTGTATCGAGTGATCGACTATCGATGCCCATCGCGAGAGGAGAGTGGTTCCAAGTCGAGAGTGCAGGTTTGGTTCGTTGGCTCGCAACGATTCGCACGCAGGTGAACCCGTGAGACACTTAGGCGTGTTGTAAATGAGAGAACAGACACATGGAAGTAATACAGCGATGGATCGTTTGCAGATGGCGAAAAAAAAAACAGGCAGCGGAGAAATAGAAGAGGAGGCGGAGGCTCGACGAGCTACGTCGAGGAACGAATACGCGAGAACAGAAGTGATTTGTGATGATTTGAATCCCTCCCCCTACCCAGAAAACATAAATGCGGCACTCGCGTGCTCCAATTTAAGTTCGGTTTCGACAATCCGTATTCGCGATACTGAAAACCTATTTTAATTCCCATCGATACGACTGTAATTGCGACATTCTATAGATGCTACGTGGGGGGGGGGGGGGGGCTTTAAATGTCATCCGAATTTAATTAAATGGAACAAAAATAAAAACTGCTCCCACGGTTTATACGAATAATTTTGATTAAATATAGTACCTGTAACTCCACCCTCCCCCCCTCCCTCAAAAAGAACGATACCACTCAAAATTCCATGAAGAATTTCACGAACAAAAAAAGCTCTTCTCACGGCTTATATCTCGTAATAAAACTCGTAAGAAAATAATATCGTTCTTGGAATCCCCGAAAAGAGACGCTACACCCGAGACTTTCCCATCTTCCATCAGGAATGTTAAGAACAAAAAGCTACCCTATTTACGCGATTAGTAATAAACGCCCGATGGAACAAGGTCACGAATATAACTGTGCTAATAATATCAGAGAATCGAGATCGATAAAAAACGGTGACAAAGACGTCCCAGAGAATGATGAAAAGCTGTCAGAGATGCGTTTACGCCAACGAGGACAAGATGAGTGCCGAAGGAAGAGCGTCTGCACGCGAGAGAAAATTAATGATCTATCGATCGCCTCGCCAGCTCGATTCGAGCGGCGATGGCGTGCGAGCCTAGGCTGAATAACGAGGAGCTCTCGTAAGGAGGCCAGATCGTCGAAGCGAAACCGATCTAGATGCGAGAAGGTAGAGCGAGACAGAGACAGAGAAAAAGGAGAGAGAAAAGTGACAGACAGCGACAGAGTAAAAGAGAGAAGTGAGAAAAAAAAATTATAAAATAAAAAGGGAGCGAGATCAGCGATCGAGAACGTGCTACCTCGTACCTGGAGCGATCATGAGGAGAAAGAATCACGCGTGTACGTGTGCCCGTGTGCGGTAATTACATACAGGTGTGGGTGCGTGAATTTTATCAAGCTCAAAAGCGATTGCGTGTCACCGTCGATGCCGAGGGACGCGATAAACACGATTCGTTCGTTTCTCGAACTATGGGAATGGAATGAGATACGTATTTGTAAATTCTGTACAACTTTCAACATACTTCATTTATTCATACGAGTTTCGTCAGTTTGGCGGTTCTTTGGTATGTGAAGTAATCATGGAACGAAATGAAGAATTAATTAAATTAATTTACTTTAGTGGCATTAGAATTTATTTGCCGATTAATCAAATTGGAATTTATAAATTTATATCAACATCCGCAATATTATGTCGCGATTCTTAATTCCATAGTGGAATTCTCAATTTCATATTAAACATCGCCTGAATTTTAGCATAAAATTCTCAAAGTATGGAACAAGAAACTCACTTATAAATTACGTTGAAATATACTCAAAATTTTAACATACAAATTTCGTAGGTTTTTAAATTTAGAGATTTTTAAAGTCCGAACTAATAAAGTAACAAGGAAAATTGTCTATTACTCGAATCTTTGAATTTATTCAATGTTTAATTTATTTTACCAGTGACGTAACGGACACGATTGGTTCTTTAAAGTCTGCGAATGTATTTCCCAGCCCTTTGTCGGGCAAATAAATTTGATAAGACGCGGTAACAAGTTCCTAATGGCGTTGCGGTTTTGTGTAGAAAATATTCGTTAATACCGTGTTGCATGGCGATTGCCTAATAGAGAACGCGAAGGTGGTATAAGAAATGACTGATAGATCGAGTTTTTGTCGATTCGTGAATTATTCTGTCGATCGAACGCGATGAAAGTATTTCTTAGGTAATGTTTCGATATTGACCTCCTAAATCCGGATAATTAGTTTCGAATTATTTCCAACGCACAGGAATCGAAAAGCAATTTGTTCATTATACCTACACGAATTTGTAATAATATTTTCAATGTGAAATTGTTGTTTAAATATCAGAATATTTCAGGTAAAATGAAGTACAAAACATAAAGAACCAATATAACGTTAAATAATAATATTGCAAATACTAGTCAATACTGACTCCACCTGACTAGAAAATGTTTGTAGATATAATGAAAACTTGACGTTTCTAAAGATTTGTTTAATTCAACTTCTCATCAATCTCTATAAATTGATTTAGTTCGAAACTTGTGTAAATAAATAACGAGTAATAAACAAACGAAAAACAAAAGAAATCAAAAATAGATTCTAAATGAATAAAATAATCGAAAAGTAATAAATAACGATTCGTATTAATAGTTATTTCGACGTCTGTCGGTAGAATGGATCGATCAATCGTGTTTCTCAATTTCTCTGGGGGAACGGTGGCACGCAATCGCGTTTGGATGCGATTTTTCCGACTAAGCGCTCGTTAACGAATAGCGGCGAGATTCTCGGCGTTGAAAGTGCGTACATATTTTCACGGTTGTTAGTCGAGCAAGGTGAATCGATAGAGTTGCGTGAACTGGCGACAGGAAGAGGTCTTCGAGGTGGGTACGAAACTAGGTTAGAATAATTCGAGTCCTACCGAGCGCTCGAGCTTCTCGTCTCCGCGAGCGTACAGTGCACTTTCGCTCAAAATCGAAACCAGTCTTTCAACGGCGAATCGAAAGTGGCCAGACCGGAGATTACAGCGTCTCGAAAGCGACTTACGCGTACAGTAACGTTCATAATTATCCCAACGACTCCACCGTGTCGGCCGAAGCGGGAATTATTTACAAAGGAACGCGCTGGTTAGCGTTTATCGTTTGACATTTCACAAAATTGCTATCGTAACTGCTGATACAATTTTTATTAATTATATTTCGGAAGTGTTGGTGAATTTAAGTTTACAGACAAACAAATTATTCGATAAATTTCGAATTTATGGATAGTTACATATGTTCGTTTATAGATTATGCAAAATTCACAAATCAAGGAATAATCCATAAATTTTTAATTATAAAAGTATCTAAAAAAGGTATGATTCATATATAGTTTTTCAATTTCAAATTCGTAGGTACTTTTATAATTAAAAATTTATGAATTATTTCTGAATTTCTAGTTAGACAATTAAAATCAATATACACTAAATGACTGATTTCGTCATATAAATATACTCGAGAGTAATAAAAACAATTATTCCTCAAAAAAAGAATCACAAACCAGACACATTTGACAACAATCAAATGAAAATTCAAAAAAACTTCCTCAAATGAACAAATTTTGTATACTAAAAAAATTGAAGAATAACGTATCGAAGTACACATCATTAGGCAAATGGCATTTCAGATCGATGGAATATCCAACGATAGCGACTTCAAGCACGTCCCGAAATTTATGGCAACGAGAGTCATACGCGATCCGATACAGATTCCGTTTCGTTTAGGACATTTTTTTTGTCTGTTTTTCAGCACGCGAACGCGTTCATCTTTCGAGAAAGAGCTCGATTAAGTTTAGAAAGCCGCGATTTGAGATACACGCGGCAATAATAATTATGAATGCGTGCACGCAGGCATTTTCACTTCACGCGCACGGCCCAACGCGTTGGGTGAACGTTTTCAACGTCGCTGAGGTACGGTAACGAGGCGAAAAAGAAAATGTTACAAAGTCAAAAGCGTTAGTCTGGCGTGTGCGTTTAGAAAGTTACAGGAAACCAGACGAAACGTTTCTATGTAATGTGGAACGTTACTGGTTGAAAGACGATCGAAAGCTGAACGATCTCGTGCGCTGATAGAGATACGTTCGTGTTGGAGATTTAACGAGTTTAGTTTGAGGAGACGAGAAGAATCGCGGTGGTGGATCTCGATAGCGAGCAAACGAGGATAGTAAGTGCGTTAGTAGAATTACGAATGGTGCGTGCTACGTTGCGAGTCTACGAAGGAACACGGGGGTTCTTAGTGTCTTCTCGAACGATCTTCGACGTCCTCCGCGCGAGGATGGAAGATATCGTTCGGGAATTGGTCATCTTACCCACGAAGGAATGCGTTCGTTATAAGTTGGACTTCTTAGATCGTGGGAATTTAAATATATTCGAGGTTTATCTAATTTGGTCATTTGTGTGAAAAGAAACTGTGGATATAATACAAAAATATTGTCGAGTAACTATATCAGTTAAAGTGACGTCTAGAATCTGAGACATTAAATAATTGGCTACATTAAGAGAATGATAAGAAACGAGACTGTTTGATAAATGACGGCTTTAACGTGATTATAATAAAAATATATTACAATACAACATCAAATAATTTGGTGTTTAAAATAAAAAAGACATGAACGAGTTCCAGTTGACGTCTAAAATCGAACAAAAAATAGTAACAAGAATAATATAATTAAAATTGCAAAATAAACGCATCAGATAGTTTGCTAAGTAAACCAACATCGACCTGTCTTCCTTTCCATTCGATAGAAAACAAAATTTATAGATGATTACCCTCTGTTGTACGAAAGAAATGATAATGAACGCATTTTCTAGGGAAGGAAACCACTAGACACGTAGAAAGACACCCCCGGGTTCACCCTGGTCGATACATCGACTTACTCTCGAGCTTGTCACAGTTGGTGACTTTGCCCTTCCAGTCGCAGGTCTGTTTGTCCAAGTCAAAGGCCAGTCCGCTGGGGCACGTGATTTGCTTCAGGCCGGACTTCGTGCACCTGTTCGCGGGACAGAAAGAAGAGGGGGCGTTTTTCAGTAACAGGGTTCCAATAAACAATGCTTACTCTCGAGCTGATCGCAGTTCTTCACGTTTGTCTTCCAGTCGCACGTCTGCCTCTCGATGTCGAACGCCAAACCTGTCGGACATCGCACGGTGGCCAATCTGGTCACGCCGATCTCCGTCGCTTTGTCGCATCTGCAGTTAATTTAGTTTGCTTTTGTCTCGATCACGATTGTTACTCAGGGATTTTTTTTATCAATGGCTTCATTATCGTGATTATTTTGTTGCCAGGGTGCTTCAGAAAAAATTGTATTATATGGCTCTGTTGTAATTCATTTATACTACCTGAATGATATTAATGGTAACATAATGTATATCCAATAGATTACATCTACAGGCAGTGATCAAAATTTATAACACGACTAAGAACTATTTGGCCTCCATCATTAAATTTCCAAAGAGTTATAGAAAGTTGGAGAATTCCAACTATAAAATCTGCTTTCAATTATACAACTAAACCACAATTTTCTTCTTGCAGTTAGAAAAGGAACAGTTACTTATAAATCATTCCATTAGACGAAATTAATTTTTAGCGAGACTGATAAAATCAACCACAAACTACTGTTGTGTAACAACAATGTCATGTAACCATGGCCAATAAAATATTACTCAATCCATAGTGTTTCAGGTTTCAGTTTCCTATTTATGGGCTAATTAGATAACAATCTCTCATTGGTAACCAATTTTATCGAAATATACTTGATCAACTAGTGACTGTTAGACATATAATTAAATTTAATAGTATTTAACTTAATAATATTTATTATAGAAACTTTTTTTCTGTTAGAATAATGGGGTCGTACAATGCTATTTCAATAATAGATAACAAAATATTTGTTGCCATGATAAAAAGTCGATTAATAAACCTTTCAATAATTAGAAATACAGTTAACAAATTTTTGCCTTCCCAATTATTCTTACTTCCAAAAAAATTTCACAATTCTCATCAAACTCTATTCTAGGTGGGTTAAAAACTGTACCCTCTTTTGCTTAGCTTTACTATTTTATTGATAAAGTTTCTCATTCATGTGGCAATACTATGACCTAACGGTAAAAATACAATAAGTGGAATCAGAAATTTATACAAGTCAAAACGCGTTAATAAGTTCTTGGCACTGTGCGTCCTTGCAGCTTGAATTTTCTTTTTCTTTTATAATCGTGTGCCTTAAAGAGTTAAATCATTCCAAACAGCCAATATCTTTCATTCACTCCGTCCGAGATACCCAACAGATCGAAAACTCTATTTTCCATAAAAAATCGAGTCACGTTATCGGCCCAAGTTGATTCGAAGTCCACGATTGGCAAAGCTTTCAAACGCGCGACATTCTGTAGGAACTCTGTTCCTGTTCCGAGGATATTTCTGTGTCCTTGGGGACGGAAATACACCATGCCCGTTCAAGTGACTCAGGACACTCGGTTCTGTCGTCATCGTTCTGCAAAGCGAGTCCTGTATCCAGTATCAGGCTCACCTTGAACCTTCGAACGCGGAATTCGATCGCCGGAGGAACCGGAGGAATTCGCTTTTCAATTCTCGGCGACGTCGCCGCTGCGTTCTTTGATCTCCCGTGGACGTAAATCGCGGTTTTACCGTTAACATCGCGTGCAGAGACCGATCGGTGTCCTTCGAGATTACGTTTACCGCGATACGGAACCGATCGCCGTCTGGAAACTACGAAACGAAGCTAATTCGACCGGGACGATACGTAAAAACGCTAGCATTCTGGTGGACGCCAGATTGGTTATTATTAATGTAAAAGGTCTGGAAATTTCATAATTTTTAGCAGGGAATCGAGTCTATACAGAGTCGAGATGTTCATTTTGGATTGTCGCGAACACTGATAGTTAGACTGCGAATATTTATGCAAATTCACATTTTCACAGAAAAAAAGTTGAAATTTAAACGAAAGCTTGTCTTTTCTGTTAAACGGTGTAACGCGTATATTATTGTCGATGTACGGACGGTGTATACAAATTGCAGAGCAATAATTTGTTCTAGTTTGATAATAGGTTAATTGTTGTCAATCTTGTTCTACAGAAATTTTGTTGACCTTTTGCTTCGGGAATTACCATTAAAGTAATCTTACATTGAAATTCTCGCATTTAAGTATGTCAACGTCATTGAACAGATAAGTAAAATAGATGGATAGTAAACACTTTTTCGAAGTTTACCTTACAACATCACGACAGTCTCCTTCGACGCTCAACCGGAAGTACTCGTCTCCTGGCCTGTCTTGGCACAATTCTTCAGCGTTTGCATCGAGCCCGTCACCTCCCTCATCGTCTTGTGCCCTGACCTGCGTTCCTGAAAATACACAAACCAAGTCAGTGTTTTAGATCAAGTATTTCCCAGTTATCTAGTTACCAGTACAATAACAAAATATGATTAAAATAGTGGAGTAGATAGGTATCTCTCATAAGGACTTTCATTTATGAAAATAATCTCATAAATGAAAGTCGCATCAAACATATCTTAATTAACAAAAATTCAACCTTTGCTGTGGGCCTTCCTCGTGAATATGAGAAAAATATTTCTAATCCTGTTTGAAGGAGAAAAGTGATCTTGGAAAGTAAAGAGAGGTTACGCCCCACCCTTTCGTCTCCACCATCGACAATTACGTACTTTCTATCACCGATTACATAAACGACTCACAATTCGCGAGAGCAATCCCTAACGTGAACTCACAATCAATATCTCTCGCTTCTTTCTCCACTTCTTCCGAAAAAAAAACCGACCACAGCATAGAGAAAATGTCAGAAAATGCAAAAATGTATAACGTAGTTTATTTTAAACGAAGCAGCATTCTTTTCTTTCTTGGGCAAGCAAAAGAAGCCAAGATTAGGTAACAAACCTGACAGGTACAAGTTTTAGTCTTTCTATTTCTAGCCTGAATACTGCAAAGGCATTCTAAATTTATCTTAGACATTAGTTGAAATTCAGAGAACGTCTTTGCAAGCAATATTTAGTATTCACTGACATAAAATAAAACGAATGGTCACGATCAGATCAAATGATTTTCTTGTCACATGTTATTAATGAATATTGAACACTGTTTGCAAGACCTACATCTTTTTGGAATTTTCAAAATATTGGCGGACATAAATATCACGAAATTTATGAATGTATTAGATCCCCATGTGAAGAGCTAAGCAGTGACGACCTTCTCATTCGACGGTTTTATACAAAACAGCCATTTTAAATTAAATTATTATATATAAATAATTTGTTTAAAGTTCCCCAATTCCGAAAATAATTCCGAAAATATGGCTGTTTTTTCTTGCTCTAGAGTGGCCTAACTCCCCCAAAAATGTTTGCAAGCCAAGATCACGAGTTTGTCGATTTTTTCCACGTTTCGAATGGATGACAATCAGCGAAGATGGATACATTACAGGTTCGAAAGTCAAACGACATCGACAGTGTGACATTTGAATAAAAAGGGCAGATTCGTACCGGTCGGGGATTAGTCGTGGAAAATGTCGCGATCGCTGAAAGCCACGATACCGAGGAGATCGTAAACCGAACAAGCCGGGGTCGCTGAACCCCCGTAGAAGTAGAAAGTCTTGGAAATGTCAGGGCAACACGTCGGGGGTGGGGAGGGAAGCGACAGCGGTTCTCCAAAGTAGGTTCTGGCTGTCTCCCCTCGACCCTCTTCGCTCTATCGTCGTATCGACCACACTCTTCGAGGCTTCGATCGTGCCTGCTCCCCGCTCGTGGATCGTGATCAGTGATCGTGATCATCGTTTCCGGACAGACGACAAAATTGTACTTTTTTTTTTTTTTTTTAAATTCATTCAACTATTCCATTCGCTAAATCAAGGCAGGGCATAAAATGTGAGTAGAATAGTTATGTCAGTCTTGAGATATGCATCTTCCAAGCAAAATTCTTAGCTGTGTATTAACAAAATTTCGAATGATGAGTGAGACGTGAACAGCTGTCCATTCGTTAAAGTAGATATCAATGCTTATTTTTATAGGATGGAGTCTCTAGAAACTGTTGAATGTTTTTGGTTAAACTGATTTTCTTATTTAGAATAATAGCGAATCTACTCGTATCTCCCTTTAGTATATAATTATTTACAGCAATAATGACAGGTGATTTTCTCATATTCCTCTTCAGTATATAATTATCGACAGCAATAATGAAATACGTTTTACTCATATCCTTCCTCAGCATATAATTATCTACAATAATAATAAAATATGATTTACTCATAACCAATCATAATTCATTATCATTCTAGGTAATTATATATTGAAGAGTGCTATATGATACTAGCTTTCAACTTTTATACATGAGATTAAATAACTCTGTTATCAATTAGGTAATCCTTTCGTACAAGTTACTATTTAATTTACTATATCAGAATGTTTTGGTAATAAGAGGTACAACATGCAAATAAAAATAAATTACATCATAAAAATAAGACAGAAATATCTCGAAATGTAGATGAAAACGTAACATAAACGTTTTAAAGAAAAATTTGCGTTTTTTCACTGAATCTAATATACCCAACAGGATAATATATTCAATTCTAACTACTGAAAGTAGTACATATTATTAAACTGTCACAATGTCGTCGCACCTAGTGAAGCACCTCGCTACCAGGCGTTGAAGTCACCAAAACATTCGTGACGCTGCGCCTGTTCTCATGCGTTTCCACCTTCCATGCAATCATTATAAAAGTCCTACGCATTTTCTGTATTTTCTACAGAATATTTAAGCATCGTCTGCAACGCTTGAATACACCATTGCATATTCATGCTCTCTTTGAAACGAATTACACGTCAAACAGGTTCATCTTCATGCTAGGTATAGATCGATGTAATAATCGAAGGAAAAAATGATTAATTTCCTTTAATTTTGTGATGAATTTGCACGAATTTCACAAATTTAAATGATAAACGAGCATGACTAGATTGTTTTTTATTTAATTTGCTCACTCGTTGAAACTATTTTGATTGTTTCGGAGATATTTGGATTAGATGAAGATTTCTATGGATCACTGGCCTAAAAAATGACAGATGGAATATAATAGAGTACTTTGATGGCGAATAATTTTGTAAAGAGAATCGCGCAATGGTATAAACTTGAATGAATGAGATTGTTATAGCCTTATTTCATTTGACAGGTGATACTGGGATATAAATGATCTTTGAAGTCTTTTCTATGGTTAATGGGTAATTAGTTGAAGTAAATAGAGTCATCAAACTGTTAGAATAGCATTGCGCTGTCGCAGCCATTGACGTGCCTCGCTACCAGGCGTTGAAGTCGCCAGAACTTTCATGGTGCTAAGCCAGTTCTACGAGCAATAACCACAAAAGTTCCACGTAGTTTCTATACTTTTTATACAACTGTTACGCATCTTCTGCACCACTTAAAGATACACTTGGATATCCATATTTTCTTTGAAAGAATTCGAAATATTTCACTGATATTTCGAGGTGGTACAGATTTTTATAAACGACTGCCGTACAGAATGACAGGTACAAAGTTTAAAATTCCATAGATGAATTCTATATTATTGTTTTGGATTTTACAGTTTAAGTAATCTACCACCCAATCCTGCTAAAAGATTTTCAAGGTTTAGAAATTCCTTCGCGGAGCCAGAGAAGTTTAGAAAGGAACGTAGAAATCGAATCCTGCTGTCGTAGCAATCCGACAACTTTTAAATTTTATCATCGAGACAAACACTCGAAGGTTCTCGTGGGAAATCGTTCCGGCGAGGGAGCTCATAAAACGTCGAATACAACTTTCACTGCTCGTAAACATCGGTGGATCGAAGCCTAAATACCTGGGTGTTTCCTTCAGCAGAGAACTCATCCTCGCCACCGAAAGACTTTCAATCTTCAGAACTGACTTTCACTCGTGAAACCAAAACAACTCTCATTTTAAAGTTCTCGAAACGAGAAACTTGAACATCGTGGTAGATCGAAACTTTTGATGCGTCCTTTCCAGGAAAATTATCGACGTAAAATTTAGAATAGAAACTTATAAGAGGCGACGAAGACGTTATATCAAATTTAAACTTTTCAAGGACCCAAGCTTTGAAAATAATTTCCTCGGCAATAGGATCGACTGATTGTCAGTGGAGGATTTAAATTCTGCGATTAGACAACGCAAATAAAGAAGAAAACTTTTGTCAGATTGTTCTTTGACTTTTAAAGCGTTTTTCGCCGTGGAATCATCAACATATGACTAAAAATCACAAAGCAAAAGGAGAGTAAAGCCAAGGAAGTTCGAGTTTCAGATAAACAATTAAAAATAATTCACTTGTCCAGAGGTTCCATAGCGATGGAATATGGAGGCACTTACTGGGACAAAATTCAAATCTAGAGATTCTATTCGCTGGAAACGCGAAAGAAACTTCCGTTCGGATATGAAAGATGTATTCGGTGGCGCAAAGTTTGAAGATGGGGAATCGACGCGAGCCAGGGCGCAATGAAAATAGGAAAGAGATGCGTGTACTCACCGGCAAGCAGAAGCAGGGATCCAAGAAGGAACAGGAACTTGGGCGACATCGTGATCGTCGTCGTCGCCGTCATCGTCGTTGTCTGGACAAAGAGCGTCTGGACAAGCCGCGCCCTCTCGCCCCTCTATATGTGCACCACCACTCCTTCCTCTTCGTCGGGGGACTTTCACCGTCTGGACGGTGCTGCCACCTTTTCCACGTCGCAAAACGGGGCCCGATCCTTCCTTCCACCTTCGACTAAGAAGGGGACCGCTCGACGAATTCCGCATCATTTCTGTGTTTCTTGTTTTTCGATGGGAATAGCCTGTCGTTGCCAGCGGATCTCTTCAATTACTTTGACTCGGATCCCAGAAAGAGAATTGTCAACTGTTTTGCATACAGGGTGGTTCCCATACAGCGTTGGAATATACAGTAAATCCCATAAATATTCGTACCCTCCATGTCTATTGAAGAAGTTTAACCAAATTAAATAATAGTTTTGATATTACCAAATGAATTTTTCATTATAAATGTGTATATGAATCAGCTTATACATTTATATATACATCAACATATTTATATAAGCATACACTTGGAAACATCAAACCTACCATTTAATTTAAACAAATACCTTCAATATACATAGAGGGTACGAATATTTATGGTACTGAATGTATTTCCAATGAGTAACAAATGACTTGATTTAATTCACAGATGAATCGCGATGTTAAGGTTGATAATAGGAAAGCAAGGGTTTCTTTGGTCCATTAGCAGCAGCTTCGGACAAATTTGTTGAACGTAAAGTAATTGGTTGAAATAATAAAATAATTGTTCCACTTAATTAAAGAAATTTTGTAGTTCATATCTGTATCGGTTTAGAAGAACCGTAGGTTGGGAAAAAATTCCGCGTTCCAAATACTGAGAGTTTCATTCTACTTTCTTCGACGTTTTCTAATAACGATTTCGTGAGCGTTTCTTGCGGGGTTTTTTCATTTGTTTAAGAAATCGATAATGGCGCAGGAGACGAGACGAAGTTTGCTTTTGCAGTTGTCCTTAATAAATGTGGGAACTCGTGACATACTGTTACCGTGCATTCGATACTCTTTGTACGAGAAACTTTATCGTTGATACGATGATACAATGTGTCAGTGAATAATTCCGTGGAATCAATTAGTACAGTTGGGTTGGATTGCAAGAAACAGTGGAGTATGGAAAAATTGTGAACAACTCGAGGTCAGCAGTACTGATTTGGTCATGTGCTTGTAAGAACGCTTTTATTGTCTATTTCCTACGTGACTACAACTAATGAATAAATAAACACTCTGTATTCAATCTTTGTCTTCAGCTTGCCTGCCTTGTTTTGATCTAATCTTTTTTTGTAGATTCTCGTGCTCTGTGCATAAGCTGCTTTCCTTAATTTTAGGTTAAACAAATTTCTTGCTTTTGATTGAAATGAGATATTATAGTAATCCTTCTTTTCTTAATAGTCAGTGGTCAGGAATTAAATATTTAAGCTTTCGAAATATATGATCTCATTGCGATAATGATGGGTTCTTATGTCATTAAGACAATTGTTTCCATCACGGAAATTACAGTTTTCTAGAGGAAAAGTAATTTGCTAACGTGCATTCATTAGTTCGATGAAATCAAAGTTTTATGTAGTTGCTTAAAGGAAGCACTTGCAATTAGCCCTCGGGATATTCGAGGTTCGCATTACGAGGTCGTTTGCTATGAAATCTTGCTTTCTGTCATTTTTTAATACTTCTATTCTAGAGTTCTTGTGATTTTAAGTTCTTGAATTCTTGATTTTCTGAGTTCTTGAGTTTTTGAATACTTGAATTCTTGCTTTCCTCTATTTTCCATCCTTCCCTTTTCCATTCTTGTATTCCTCTTGCATTTTGATATTGTCATGTACATATTTAGTAGATTACTATTAGCTTAAACACTATCAAGATTAAATCAAATAACAGCAGAAATGTCTCGAACGTTGAATTTAAACCCCGACACCGCGGTTACCGCTACCTTCCCTTACATTTTTCATTATTTTCTCGCCCCTGTCACTATTTGAAATACAGCCTCTATCCATGCGCAATAAAGGCGTATTATACTCCTTATCTTCTCCCGTAACCTCATAAGAAACTCATCGTTTCCCGTTTCTTCGCCTCGCACACCGTAGCAGCGACAAAGAAAGCCACATGAATTATTTACGCAGCTTTTTATAGAAGCTGTCCACAGGATGCTGTACCTTCCATCTATCTCTCTTTTCTTTTTTTTTTTCCGTTTTAACCGTTCAGCATCGTGCTTGCGCAACACGTTTACTCCCGAGCTTTAGAGGATGCACCCGGTGGCCAATAAATTTGCGGTTTAAGCGGTAAAAGGTTATCGACGTCGTTCCCTACGAAAATAACTTCTGCTATTGCGTTGGAGGCTGCACACGCCGGAGCTCAGGAAGAAGGATAATGCCGTTCGTATCGATTTTAGTTTACGAATAGAAACAAAAGCAATAGCAGTCTTCTTCAACGTCTTCGACGCGATTTGATGATCTAAGGGGATTTTCTCCTTTGAAGAAATACATTGGGAATAAACGTAGAAAGAGATCTCTTTATCGATTCTTTTTTCTTTTAAACTCTAGCGCCAATTGACTTGTAACTACGCAGCTTTATTGCTCATATTTTTAATAATGACTGCGAAGAAGAAATTCTGTACTGAAAACTTCAGTAAAAAATCAAAAGTTCTATACAAAATGACGATATACAAATAACGGTACAATATCCTTGATCATTCAAGAAAATTCGTACATAATATTTATGTTTCCTTCGATGCAATGGAACTTATACACCGAAAGATTTCGTATTCAACAGTTGGTGCAAGAGTTATTTAAAATTAGCTCGTGGTAAAGTTACGCGATTCACCTTGTATATCAGCTACAAGATTTGAACGAGCCGCTTCCTGAAAGTTATGTGATTTATGTGCCAGTTGCTAAACCCTTCAAGGTTGGCGACCGCCGATCCACAGGTTAAGAAGAATCTTGTTGACATCTCTAACACCACTGAAGGAAGCAGCTCGTGACGTTTTATATCTGTCGCTCCGTGAATAATTCGTTACAATCGAGCATTTCAGGTAACAGAATTTCAGGTTTGATTTTTATCGATGACGTTCGCACGAGTTCTGCGAAATCGTACAAGAAAACAGATTCATGGCACGCTCGTTCTCAATAACAAACCGTTGCGAAAGTTTCGAGTAGATCCAGTGCCGTGGATAGGCAAAATTTTTATTTGATTGTGAGTAAGAGGTGACGAGCGAAACCAACGCATGACGATTTATTCAGTTAGAACAGTTCAATTCAAGTGTGAAATATTTCGTTCTATAATTTAGAAGAAGAAGAACATAATTATATACTGAAAATATAATATAAATTTAATGAGTAAATTTTCCACATACTCAAATGGTTTTGCAAGATTTGAAGTAGTGAAGTTATTGTTAGATAGACCTTGGTTGGTTTAATTTTTTTGTTAGTCGCACATGTCACACAATTTTCTTTCAGAAACTGTTTTGCATTAATCTAAGGATGGACTTGATATCGAAAACATTAATTATACGTTTCTAAGACAATGTTATCAAACTTGCTCGATTTATCATGCATAAAGTCATGCTTCTTATTTTACTTAATTCGTTTTAGTTGTTAATTGCGATTGTTCACGCTGATAAGGAAGATTCAGTAAGGGTTCACCAGAAATCTAAATAAATCCTGAGACATATCGAAACCTGTTACAGATAACGTTTAATAACAGTATCGTGTTCGTATTGTGAACACTGCTATAAAAAAACTATTACGGGTTTACTTTATGCCTTGGAAAAACGTTGAATATTTAAATAAAATTCCTAGGAACTTGAAACTCGAGAGAAGACACACTAAGATGCGTTTTATTTTTATTTTAATGAGCAGGGAATGATTGTCTGATATACGTAGGAGTATAGGAGATTAGATACTTCTAAATTAGGGGAGGCTAGGGTTGAAACGAGTTAAAGTGTTTATTTTTAACCGACTTCGAAAAGAAGAAGGTTACTCAATTCGACATGTATATATTTTTTTTTCTTCTGCTTTATTTGTGTTCCATTGCGCTGAATGTCGTAGGAAACACTAGTGCAATTATACCAGGTATTATAATATCGTTACAAGTAATGATTAATTATTTTATAAAATTGAAATTATATCGTGGATGTAATTTACAATTGTAATTTCATAATATTGTATTCTTCGGGCTGTACTCGTTGTACATCTAATAATTACGTTCATTACGAAGATGACTCGAGCACATTAGTTGAAACGTTAATAAGGATAGCTTGATTAATACTGATGACTATCTGGTCGTTAGTCACTACTTTTTCTTCGAGATAATCACGCTTCATAATTTTCGTGTCGAAATGGGCTACCTAATAAAGCACGTTATCACCATGAGATCACTGATTTTGAAAGTCTAAATATTTATCCTCAGCGTTATCTGTTTAGAAATTTGGACATCGACTGAATAAATTTCTTTTGTCTTCGCGAGTGAAACGTTTGAGTCACTGAAATATTCGAATATCCGAGTACGAACTTTGGCAATTAGTCCCAGTTTTAAGGCCACGTCAGGAATCGATAAAACGTGGAATGAATCCTTGGGTAATTGCACCTCCGGTGCAACGCCTCATTAGAATGGAATTTCAGTTGCCCAAACGCATTCGAGTGGGAACGCATACCAGCCACGATGGAGGAATCGAAGAATTGAAAAGGATGAAGTATTTAGCACGCAGGGCTCATGGTGCATTAAACGTTTCGTAGATTGTTTAGAATGTGGAGCAAACGACGATGATGAAACTGGGTATGGATATCGTTGAATCATTCGGAAATAGGCGCGTGAAAGGTTCCGAGGTAAAAATAGATCAGGAGCGTATTTCCAACCGTTATTAACGGAAAATAAAGAGGCAATTTAAATTATGATAGGCATCGAGTTACGTCAATGCAGAAATGGTGGGTTGGGATTATTTTATGGTTTCACACATTACATTTCCAGGAATTATATTTACTTTTATAGAGCTTATATTATATTTATCTTAAAAGGGGTCGATATCAATGATCAAAACGTTGAGATTAATTTTGAAAAATGAATACTTACTCTATGCATACTTTACTCGATCAAATAAATACTTATTCTATTCATACTTTACTAAGTTGAATGAATACTTATTTTACTCATATTTTATGCAACTATGTACACATTTTATTAGATGCATACCTTATTCACTTAACTATAGTGTGCAGGAAGTGTCATTTACCAACGTTCCAACGAGACCATAATTGCGCAATGAAATACGATCGACGTCTGGAGAGTTCCATGGGTAAGGTTGAAGACACTTGCATGCATATTGACACGAGCACAAAGAACCAATGATTCATGATTTCGCGAGGCTTAAGGGTGCAATCTGATTTCTCAGACAACTGTGTTTTCATCAATCCCACGAAACTTCGTAACCGTGCACTGATTGAATAAGGAGAGATCGTCGTTTCCTGGTCGTTAATCTCGAAACACGTGTTTAAGCGTAACGCGGTAGGTTTCTTTCTTCTGAAAGGAGTTCCTTTCAATTATCATTCTTTCATCGCAACTTCAATGTGAATTATAATCTGTAACACACCCGAAGACAACTATATCACATTGGTCCATGAGAAGAATTATTAAAGAAAGGTCTTAAGATAACCACGACAAGCGCAGATGTATTTTAGAAGAAACTTTCTAAAAGATAAAAGTTGGAAATGTTAAAACAAATACTATTTATTATATTTTAAAAGATTAAATAATAAGAATAATTGCAAAGATATTTGTTCTTCTATGTTATCATACGTATTATATTGTATGTTCACGTGAAAGTCAGTGCAGGTTCTACTTTAACATTGAAACCGCCTTAGCGTGGCTCCATAAGGATCCGATATCACTGCCACGCTATAATATACAGCGATGTAGATTCCATGGCGGCCATTACGGTACGAAGCACTTTATAAAAGAGCGATATCTTCGATAAAGCACAAAATGGGAGAGAACAGATGCCTCGCATTGGAAGCAGGATACGAAACAGGATCTTTTGTTCGTTCTAAGCAGTCGATTTAGTCAGACCATCTGAAAACTACATTTTGCTTGGGTTTTATGTTACAGCTACCTACGCTAGATTCTTCTAAATTTCGTTTCAAGCTTCTTTGTACGTGGAAAGACGATGATATACGTCAAATGGTAAAATAGTTTTAGTATAACTCAGATTTAATTTTAAATTTAGTTGAAGCTCGCTCTTATATCTTCATACGACATATTAAACTCAAATTGGGTGTAATGTAATATTTGAAGGGAGTAGGCACGTACTCAATGCATATCTTTTTTCTTCTAAAACCTTTGTTATCAACACAAACATTCAACATAAATAAATATATAATTGTTTTGAAAATTGTCTTGAAAATTCTGAAAGCCTTCCATGTATGATAACACAAATCAAAGAAATATCTATACAATTATTATTATTATTATATCATTCTTCGAAGCTTAATAAAGTAAGTAGCACCTATTTTCTAACTGTCAAATATTGATCCCTAGTATTTTGTTAATTTTCTACGCAATTGATGTTTTATCGATACATTAAAATACAATTTTTGGTATAAAATGTACAGATAATGTCAAAGGTCGATTCAATCACTGACTCGTGAATTATATCATTATGCAGACGGAACGTTAGCGATAATGAACGTTCCTTAACATTGTGATCCAGGAGGATCCAATGGCATTTCTAAACGCGTGTCGAGCCGAGTCCTTGACGGGATGCACACGTCGGGATGCCAACGGGGGCACACGTTCACCGTAGAATAAATATGGGGGAGCCGCTGGGAACCAGTTTTCGTAGTTCACGAGAGTCCGCGCGTCTCACTGTCTCCTCTTTCATTTTTTCTTTTTATTTATACTTTTTCCCCGTGACCTATGCAGCCAGGCGCCACAAAAATCAACGATCGGCCGAGAATATCTCTAATGGAACCTTGATTCCTCCGCCTTGCTGGCTTTTCAGCTTGTTTGCTACTTGTCTGATTGATGACCCTCCCTTGGCTTGGGAGCGATTGAAAAAATTTGGCCAAGTCACGTTACGCTGTTATTTGTCGTTCTTCAGTTGCTTCGTTTATCGATCAAACTCCGTAAGAGCGGATTATTGTGCTTTAAACGAAACTAAATTTTGAGTAGAAGATTTTAATATGTTTCGGTACATTATAATCTTGGTACTATAAGCAATATTCTCTGGAAATAGTGAACTTAATGCAAAGTGAAATTAATATTCAGATGTTATTTTATAACATTTGATAACTGGATGTTTGCTTTACTCTATTTTAATTTCAATATTTCTTCATTTGCTTTTTCTAAACGAATCAATATTATATCGAATATTTTATAATCTCTGTATTTAATACAATATCTACGATAATACAGATGTAAAAAAAAGCATTTGTTTCTTCGGGGTCTTCTTCTATGCAAAGAACAATTCTCAGGATTTTTAAAGATATAATTGCTCCAAATAAAAACCAATCGATTTACTTAAATACCCAATTTAAAGTTTTGAGAATTCTCAACCCTTTCTCAATCATGCATGCTTTCCAAGAGACACTGTTCCTCGAACAACCGTTTAATTCTCTTCCAAGAATCGATTTCCAGAAATCGTCGAACAGTGGCCGTCACCTTCCAACGAAAGTGACAACGATTCCTGTGAACTGTTAATTTATTCGTCTCATTCTTGGATCTCGAGGGCTGTTTCACCGAGCAAACGTAGAAAATACGTTTTGCACGCGATAATCGAATGCTGAAGGTTACACTGTTACTTAATCGAATAGCACAGTAACCTACAGACCTTTTTCTCCTGCTCTTTTCGTCTTCCTTCATGCTTTCTACAATCGCAACCTCTCCTTGAACCATCTTCGTGCCTCTGCGAGATCGTCGTCGATCATGGAACGCGTGGTTGCCTCCGATTCCCAACCAGTCCATAAATACTTACCCATGGCTCTTTAGAAATGCTTGTGATCCTTAGCGATCCTTTGCGAATCGCTTCCGAATCTTCCGTAAATCGTTCGTATTCTTCCATCTGTTACTGTGAATTACTATGAATTATTATGAGTCCGGGGCAACAAGTTCAATCCGAATTCTATAATATTTCATCCGACTCCTTTGCGACTCCTTCTTGTGAATTATGTTCTCCGAAAACATTTGTGAGTAATTGTTGTGTGAATCGTTTCTGTATGATCCGTAAGTTGCTTGTGAACGTCTCTGTGTTGCTGTGAATTACTGTGAATCATTCATTAGTATCTAGCAACAAGTTGACAAATTTGAATCGTACGAAAACTTTCGATCAATTTTGTGATTACTTCTGTTTCTTTGCGATCGTCCGTGATTTATTGTGATCCTATTGTGAATATTTGTGTTTCCTTGTGATTTATCGTGACTCTATGTAACGAATAATTTAGACGAGTAATGATACAACTAAAAAAAGGTTTTGAAAAGGCACGAGAGTCAGTTTCGAAGGTTTTCTCTCGCTGAATAGCGTCGGTGGTCCGTCGAGGATGGGAAAGTCAGCTCGAGCCGGGTGGCACAGCGCGTAACGCCAAAGAGAGACGAGATAGAAGGCGTTTCGAAATACGAGATGCGCATAATTATACGCGCCTACTTAGATGCATCGGGAATGCAGCGTAGTCCTCCGTTTTTCTGGCACGCCCAGAGCTGCCGTCCACCTTTCGATCGGCCTTTGTGATGCCACCGAGACTTCTTGCCTTTTATGGCGCATAACGCGCTGCACCGTGGTATGTATTATAGTTCAACGCGATGACTGTTATTTCATTCGCTGCCACGAATTTCGCGCTAATTACCGTAATGTCACTGTCGACACCCATCGTCGCTCGTGACCAATTGAAAATTGACGTTAGAATGATACTTGGACATCCACCATCCTCCGCTACAAAAAGTCATTTCATCGCCTAGCTTGAGACAACAGCTTGAGAAAGGAAGGGCAACGCTTGTTGCGCGTAATTAATGATCGTTGTATCGCAATGTGTTGCGAATTATTTGAGAACTATTATGTTGGAAAGAAAGATTGATTTAATGAAATTCTGTAATCCATCCTCAATTATATAGAAAAGGAAATTATATTTATAATATAAATGATACAAAAATTTCAACAGCACAATTTTTTTGTTCCAGAGATCGATGGACATAATTTAAACCGGGTTAGATCGTCTCTCGTAGATCAACGAACGGGTCTGACTCGATTCAGAACACGTGCCGGAAGGAAGACTCTTTCGTATGATGGACGCGCACTACCGACGACGTGATTTTCACCTTGACCATGGGCGGGTCATCGTCCATCGTTGTACCTTCAAGTTCTCGCGTGGAACCTCGAAATTTAATGTGGGACAGCCATTGCCACGTCGACATCATTAACATCGACAACATGGTCCCCTATTGTAAGTAGAAACTTGAATTGGGACGTGTACTCCACTTTCGTCGATGAATTTCGAGTTGATGCAATTATATATTCAATCCATGAAATAATTAGCGTTACAGGTAATTATTTTGATCTATCTATATCTAGAGAATTTTTTGCGATCTTCACGAATGTTTATGATAGTCTGTAAACGTTTGTGAATTATTTCTGAATATAATTGACACTTTATGAATGCTTGACTGCTGTTGTTACGTTTTCTTTGTGATTATTGGTACATCATCGTGAATTTGTGCTTATGGTCATTTGTGAACATTTCTGAGATGTAGTCAGTGCTTGTAATCGTTTCTAATTGTATGCGAATGATCGTTACTTTGTGAGATTTTTTGAAAAATTCTTTGTTATTTCTTGTGATCGTTTTAAGAACGGTTTGCGAACGCCTGCTAATTGTTGCTAGTTCTTCTTGTGATCATTTGTGACAGTTTGTGAATGATCGTAAATTTGTGTGTATATTTGAGATTCTTCGTGACTGCTTGTGATCATTCGTGACCATTTGTAAATTATTGTGAGTTTATTTGAATTAATTTTTAATGAGAACCGGCATTATACATCGAAAAGAATCGAATACCTCTCCAACGGAATGTCACTTGAAAGTAACCAAAAAGTAAATTACAACAGCGAGGAATCCAGTTTGAGAGCGAAGGAATTTACTGTGTTCGATCGTCAACCGAGTCCTGATCGTCGATCAAACACGAGTTTAATTACCCCGGTTCTGGCTAAACGCGAATTATAGAACGCTCATCACCGCGGGGAAGAAGAAAGGTGGTTTACCTTGTAGCGACGACCCACGTCAGGTTATCTAAGAAACCGTGAAGGGAAAAAATGTCGAGAAGAAGGGACAGTAATTCTCGAAGAGAGTGAATCGTCGTTTCTCGCGACTGCAATTGGTTGCAACTTGACATTACAACGTTTAATGGCTTACATACGGCCGGACACTGAAAAAAGTCTCGACTTTATGGACGTTTTTTAGTCGACCAAGTAACCTTTTGACGAATACTTTTGCACCAGTGAAAAGTACGGGTTATAAAGAAATTATTGAAAAATATCGACAAATAATCGAGTCGAAAATGAAGCATTTGGGAAAAAGAAATTAAATAACTACGTGAAGTATGTTAATGTAGGTAGAAATAGTGGAACTGGTGGAAAGTACAGTTAATTGTACGATTAAAAAAAAATTATAAGTGAAATTTTTAAAAATAATTAAATAAAAAATTATCCATCTGGAAAAAATAACTTAAATAACTTCGTGAAGTATGTTGATATAGTTGGTATGTGACTGTGTCAAAAATGAATGAATTGTTCAGTTCAACTATATTAATCGTTGTCATTCTTAGGACGAACCAATTTTGGTCTATAAATGCATTCCGCTTTCATTCAGTCGCGGCGACGAGAAAAAAGGTGGCTCACCTTGCAACTCATTCATCGTGGCTGAAAAGAAAAACGTTAAAAACCGAAAATTGCACACCTGACGGCTATTGTGAAATTGGCCTCCTTGAGAATCGCGATTATTTTCACTAACCTGATTCCAGGCTTCGATTTCTTGTCAAACCTTGATCTTTTCGTATCCGACGTCGCGTGAATATTACTCCTCGAGTTCTCTTCAGAATCCTTCTGATTGATGTACTTCGACGAGAATATTGTCACGTGGTTTGGTAAAAATTCCTATTTGCATAAATCATTTAATGGGAAGGCAGTAAAATATTATGCGTTTTTGCTTCATGATGCGTTTATGATTACTTAAATGTTGTACTTATCAATCGATAAATAAACGATTTATTCGAAAATAAATTGCGTTTTGTCCAGTTTTCAGAGCTCTATAAAATGGTGTTTTCACTTTCTAATCCTACGATATAATATCACTACGAAATGTAATAGAAAAATATGTGACAGTATTCATACATTTACTATTCTCTTTTGTAGCCAATAAATTGTTCGTGGCTGTATGCGTGTGTGTGCGCTTGAGAGAAGCGAGTATAATAATTTGCAGATCAATACGAGGAAGAGAAACATGGTACTTGGACAAGTAGGTAAGGTACAAAAAAATTGCCACCCAGCTTTCAAGTGAATAGGCAGTCTCCGTTTTGTCACTTGAAAGTGTGTATTACTGCACTCACCGCTGGAAAAAGTTTTTAAATTGTCAATCGTAGCATGGCAAATAGTATGCCAGCAACTATGCTCATCAAAAGGAGCTTCCTGGAAGTCGCGAAGATTAATGGCGAAGCCATTTAGAAGAAGATTTTCGCCAGTAACACGACGGAAATAGATTAGTGAACCAATAGAGCCTTCAAAGAGAACGTTTCTCCCGCTTCCATACTCTCTGAAAGGGAATTGAAAGAGAAATTCTGCTCGAGCAGACACACTCGTCCAGTCTTGTTCATAGATGAGGAGGAAGGTGGTTCACCTTGCAGCGACAGCCTTCCGTTATTTCTCGTAATAGACGCCACGGCCAGCTCGATATCGATTCGCCATCGATGGCGAGAAAATGCTCACAAGCTTTCCTCGAATCGACTCTTCGTCACCTCACCGAACCACTCATTCATTGCACGGAACGAACAAAGGGAGCCCAGGAACTGAATTCCTTGCAAAGTTTGCAGCCATCCCTACCTGTTAATTAGTGAAAGCTGTCTCAAACTGGAGTTCGCGACTACTTTGTCGATGAAACGTTTATCAAACGTTTAATAAACGTTTCGAACTTTTCCGAAGTTCTTTGCAATTTTGTGAATAGTTACGAATGTTTGCCAGATCTTGCGACTGTTTATGAACTTTTATCAATGTTTTCCATTGAAAACCATCGTAAATGTTTCTGTGTATCCTTTGCGAATACTTAGGAATGTTTGCGAGATCTTGTGACTGTGTGTGAATTTATATGAATGTTTTCCTTTAAATCCTTAATAAACACATTTGCGTACCCTTCGTGAGTTCTTATGAATTGTGATTTTTTCACATTAAGACACGTCTTAATTCTCTTAATTGGTGAAAGCCACGTCAAAAACGAGATAACGAAAGTAGAAAGGTTCATTATCCATATCTCTGTGCTTACCGATATATTAGACAATTTATGAAGCTTCCGCGGACGAAATTAACATTGCTATGCTTCTGACATTTAACTTTAAACGGTTCGTAAGACGGCTTTCTAGCGTCGCCATGATTGAGAAACATACGAGCACCGTTTCGTCGTGGGACTTTTTAATAATACATACTTAATACTCTCTGAAAGCAGGAGGAAGCATTTCGAGGGGACGATTCTACGATTTCGAGGTATAAAAGGTATGAAGTCGAGCAGGTACATATGTGAGAGTAGGATCAGGAGATTCCTTTGATATTGCAAGGGAATACCTCAAGATATTTCCTCTCTGAAAAGAAGTATATATTTGGAAGAACCCATTACCTTTTTTCCCATGCTAAACTTCCAGGTTTTGGAATATGCGTGATCTATATGAATATGCAGGATGTACATCGCCAATAATAAATGTACAAAAGGACATATTTGTTGCTGAATAATATATTTCATTTTAGCAAAGTAGAAGCAAAAATATTCGTACAATCGTTTTTCTCGATTCTGGCTTCATTTCGAAGCCATCAGTTCAGGATTCCTCATTTTCAGCATTTTCGTGGCTCGAGTTGTTTTTCGAGTACCTGTTGAGAATTTTTTAAAAATGGTTAAGGTTGATTCGATGGTGTTGTCAAGCTCGACAGGGAACATTTCCTTGCGACGACTGCGACACCAGTTCCTAACGTAATAACAATGATGTCTTCCGGTTCTTCGAACCACATTATATTCTTTCTGTTAGCGCAGGAACGTTAAATTCAAGACACGCGCTCGTCGGTCGATCATTATGCGACGAATCACACGCCAGGACAAAGGAAAAGTACTTTTAAAGTCACGGTCGCGCCGCTTAAAAAGCAACGACTTTACGAGTCTCAGCACGACCTGTTCCTGTTTGCCAGCAATATTTGCTGACGCGAGTCCCATTCCAATTGATTTATCGCGATTTCAACGTTTCGAGCACTTTTTACGACTCTCGTTGCTCGCTTTTACTGACGAAGTGGACGAAGTGGTCAGAAAATTTGAGTACTAGTTATAGAGTAGAGCTTCGTTATGCTATCGAGAACGTCAACCCTTTCATTCACGAATTATTTAAATTCTACAAGAAGAAAACAGTTGCTTCCTTTAACTCTTGAAGTTTCAAATTAGGCGAAACTTATGAACAAACTGTGGATTCTATCCATTCATGTATGCATTAGCTTGTATTTTTTCGTAGTGCCTTGTATCACTAATGAGTTAAATTTGCAATTTACTTATGAGAAAAGATTTTCATTTGAATTTTTATGAATCTTTGTGACCCTTTTGTGAACGATTGTGAGTCGTTGTTGATTCGTTGCGAAGACTTGTGACTTGACAGAGCACTTCCTCGTAAGCGAGAGGAAATATTTGAGAAATAATTTTGGACAATTCGAGGACGAAAACGAAGTCGTTGCCATCAAAAAGGAACGCTTGGAAAAAAATATGCAGGTGGACGTTGAGCACGTCTCGAAGAAAGTCTCGATGACCCGAATCTTACCGATCACCTTTCTAAACCGAATTTTGTGGACACGTGATAAATAAACATGGCGAGTCGTGGCTGCGCGAGAAAAACTGTTTGAAACGCGTAGACGTATTCAGAACATATAGAAAACAACGTGTTCTCCCATAGCGCGTAAGGATACATTCTAGTGCAAACGTCTGAAAAGGGAAGCTCCTCTGAAAATTAAAAAAAGAAACACTAAGTAATAATAAAAAAATATTTGCATTCAACAAAATGTATCTTAAATGACATAGCAAAATTTTGTTACCTTTTTAGATATGTATTGTTAAATGCAAAATTGTGTATTGTCTCTTGTATAAGCCTCTCTGTTCAGAAGTTTACATTAGAATGCATCCTTAATCTCGTTTTCAAATAGGTATCTTCTACGTTGCTCGCTGTAAATTGAAATGCAACTAAATGTCGAATCACTTTTTCCTTAAAGTAAATTAGTCGGTTGTAAAGTAGAAGAAATATCAATTGCTGAAGTTTTAGCCAACCGTGTGAATAAATGAATATTCGTGGATATTTGCAAACATTGCGATTTTAAAAGTGAAAGTTAAAATACAATTCTTAGGAAAGTCTCCCATAATTTTAACCTTACATGATCAATTAATATTCAGAATCAATTCTCCAATAATTTTCATCGGCGGAGTTCAGTGCCACGCTATCATCGCACACGTTCACACCGCATATCGATTACTTCACGCCTGCAGGGTGCAAACTCCTGCCGCAAATGTCATTCTCTGCGAAATGAGAATTCAACTCCCTCGAAACTTGTCGCATAAATTTGATCACACGTGTCACGTATAACTGGCAGTAGAAAATGTTTAAATATTGCCACTCGAAACGGTCAGGATTTACGTTTATTTGTCCAGTCCTCCTCTTAATATCAATCACATTTCTCGATTCGCAACCACAACCGAAGACATTCAGGAAGCATGATCATGGAAAATGATTACAAAAAGATTTTTCACAAAGCCTTTTCGTTCATAACTTTGACAGATAGTTTCTCTTTGTTTCATCGTTGTCAGAGTGCAACAAAGGTGACGGTGAAACGTGGATGAAGCCACGGCAAGCGTCGTGGATATTGGTTTTTCACGCTTTCGCGAGGAAACGTCGAGGTATTCCACGTGGAAATCCGGGTGAAACTTAATGGCACCCTCTGAAACGTAGTATCGTCTCTGCATTGTCCGAATATTGTTGTAATTGGAACAATTTCTGGTCGTTTGTACTCGAAACACACTGCACTTATGTCTTCGGATATAGTTTCTACGCTTATTAATGTACGTGTACTTGCTGATCTCTCTTTCTATTACAAATCATTGAATTCTCACTATACAACTGCACGTGACACATAATCCTTTAACTCTTGCGAGGGTTTATATCCCTCCATAAAATCCTGATTAAATAGTTTATGCAACTCACATCGAAGATTGCACTCGCGTATGATCTAGTTAAAATAAATCGTTTGGCATGGGTAGCTCGATCGTCCTAAAGCCCATCTCTACTCGTAGCTTCGAGCAACCAGTCCAGTAGAACGTCGATTATCTAGTCATCGATTACAGCAATCACCATTTCTTGTACTTCCGTTAATGTCACACCTTCCCAAGTGGAACATCGATTACCAGAACTCGATCGATCCATTAAGATTACGCTGAGAAATGTATTCAATTCCAATTAAAGAACAGGAAATCAATCTTTAATTTCAAATTGTCTTCTAATTCGTTCAACTGGCTACCGTTTTATTATATTAGCGATAATCGTTTCACGACTGTTGCGCAACCATCGTCTTTCAGCGCCAGGATACGATCGTCGCTAGGTATCGAGCCGTTTTCGAGAAATTTCCGATTTTGTAACGTTCACAACC